CACGACACCAGGCGCCCTTGTCTTTAGTAGGCTGGCCCATCTAAATGGTTTTTGAAGGTTCTATAGACCGGTTTGGTTCGGTTTTAGAACTCAAACTAGTCTATAAAAACCTAAAACGGTTTACAGAACATTTCATGCGTTTCTTTTTCTGTTTATATTTTTTTGTGTTCCTTTCATTGGGTTTCTTCAGCTTTTTATCTTTTTCCTTTTCCCTTTTCCTTTTGGTTTTCCTTTCTTCCAACACATGTCGATCATACGGGGCTGCCACCCAGATGTATAGGTCAGGCTATGTCGAAAGGACAATGCGAACGGGTCGACGAATTGGCCACCACGTAAAATCACCAAGATGCCACCCATGCCATGCGAAGCAAGGCCCTACCCCATGGGGCCATGGCGGAATCACCATCCGAGGTCGTCGCCTGGCTTCCACCACCCTCACCGGGAGAGCAACGTAGCGCAAACATTAGCTCTAGCGAGCGCCAAGGTCATGGCCTCACAGGCGACACCTCCAAGAAGATGTATCATCGTAGATGCCATCGTTGCCCGCTCCGACGGAGCTTGAGTTTTCACCTGGATACCGAGACGATGATGGAGGTAGAAACAAGCTCACGACCACGCCCCCAATAAGGAAAAGACGACACACAAGGTGTCTTCATGGTCAGCATCAATCAACTTTAGTGCTAGGCTTTCGCCCGGAGTTCTGACACCCTGACAACCTCCATGGGAAGCAAGCTGCTGCACAAACCCAGCTCTGTCGCTCACCACCATGTAAAAACACTATCCGCTTCGGCCGCGACAGGCACCGTGCCTGCCGTGAGGGCCAGATCCACACTCAAAGCTCTCGATGTGTGCCCCCACAGCAGCCACGACAAGGCCCACCAATGACCCCACCCCGGGGCCGACATCCCAGCCCCTCACGCGTCGCTGCACAACCTCACACAGGGTTAAGAGCAACCAACGCAACTGTCGGTTGCAGAACAGATCCGCGCATCACGGCCAACACTCGCTGTCCTTCCGCATGGCTCATCGCCCTCGCCACGAAACTACAAATGCTAGCCAGAATCGCCACATCCCAACCAGCCTGCCACCCCGCAGTGGCCCGCCGCAGCCGCCACCGATTACACCAGATCTACGCCGGGACCCCGACTCGCCCCCCTTCAAGCAGCAATGCCGAGGAACCGCTGATGCGCTGCATCAACCCCGCCACTGCATCCTCGGGAATGCTCCACCGGCATGCCCGTGTCGCAGAATCGCAATCGTCACCCTAGTCGACCAGACGGTCGCCAACTCCAACACGAGGAGCATCCCCGAGGTTGCCGCCACCGCAACAACAGGAACCAGCGGCAATGGGGGGGGGGAGGAAGTGCGGGAGAGGGAGGAATTTGGGTGGCGGTGCAACACCTGGAAGGGGGTGGAGCTATCATGCATGTAGATACGATAATCTCTTTCCAACCTTGTCGTGAGTCCATGATGGTAATATGCGACAAAACGAAGTAAATTCGTACTTCATCCGAAATTAGTTGACACTCAAACGGATGTATGGTAAGCATCAACTAATTCTGAAAAAAAAAGAGTAATTGCACTAATTGACTCCTTCGCACGTGCGCATCGGAACGCTCGCTTTCCGACCACGGAGGCCGCATTGTTCCTTTTTGGCAACCGTAATTAAAAACAGTTCATCTAATTCACATCTAGATATTTTTTAAGAACGTCACATCTAAATTTCCACAAATATATAATGCAACAACAAGAAACAAAAAAATAAAAAAATAAACCGCAAACAAAATGAGCATCAGTTTAGATGTGACGTAACTATGTCACATTTAGACGTGTTCTAAACACATCCAATTAAAAAAGCAAGAGCTGCCACTTTTTTTATGCGCGTCAGCCACAACACGAGGCCAAGGGTAACGTGCACGACATGACATGCAGGACCCACGCCTAATCTCTCGGGCCCCTGTTTAAACCCCACTTATTGCAAATCTACTCAATCCACTGATTTCAGGACAGCGATTGGGAATAAGTAATCCTACGCACTTTCCAAACCAGGAACAAAACAACCTGTCGGGAATCGGCCGTTCCTACGCGCGCGCGTAGTACACCCTCTGTTTCTATACTTCTATACTTACTATTAAACAACAAAGCCGATTAAACAAGCAAACATTTTCTTTCCTATAATCACACTGTTATGTGTACCCAGCCTGATTTATGCCGTTTGATTAGTCCATTTAATTAAATCTAACTGCCTAAATACATCTGATGGGAGGCCACAATTGCACGTAGCAATTTGTGTTGGCGGACGATACTCTGGGCGAACCAAACAACGCCACGCCCGGTCCACTTCCCGCATCTATCCAATTTCCTCCCGTGTTTAGCGCTGCAAATTAATTAGCGCTTAACAACTCTTCTCCACACACCACGCCGTCCTCAACCCCTCCCCAAGAAAAGGGTTCATCACGTCCCCGGCGCTCCTTCCCCGACGCGTACCTGCCATCTCCGCCCTCCCCAACGCCAATCTCTCGCCACACCTTCCTTCCTCGCGGCGCTCCATCCCTACGGCGCTGCCGCTGCATGGTCAACACGCCGCCATGCTAGGCCATGCACCTATCTCTCTTGCAGCCGCCCTCCTGACCTGCCGCCTCTCCCACACCATCTCTGCCTAGCCGTCTCACTAGACAAAGATGCATACGAAGTCGAGACGCGTCCGGCTAAGGACCATATGCAGGTTTCACACGTGCTTTGGAATTTGGATTGAACTGTGTTTGGGTTTTGGTGCAAATTCAATGATGGTTTATGCAAGCGAATTGTTCTTACAAGAAGTGTTGTTCTAATTATTATTTTTGTTTCCTTATCAACAGGTCATTGTGCGGTACAGAAACTGTACTCTGAATTTGTCACTACAGGTTGCATGCAATTTCTCACTGTTAGTTTCAGTTTTTTCCTATTTTCTATGTGTATATAGTAGATGCTTCTCTTAATCTGTGGCATCTACATTCATCTTATCTAATTCAGTTAAAGTTTACATTGAAAATTTCCCAGATCTCTTTTTAATGCTGTACTTACCCAGAGCCTTTCTCTCCTGCTAGGCTAATTTACAGAGTTTTACTGACCCGCAGTCGCTGTATGTCTTTTCTTCGTTCATTTGGTCAACTGAATTTGTCATCCATAGTGTAATTGCCTTTTGGGCTCCCCTTTGCACCATCAGTTCTAACAAAAGATTTTATTCAATAGTTGTTTGCGGACAAGATTTTGAAGCTCAGTGATGAAGTACACTTTCCCCAACATGCCACTTTAGAGAATATATGTCAACTTCTCTACATCTCGAAGTGCACATGGGCGTTGCATTTATTTATTTAGTTCCGTGTAGAGATTCAATCATCTCAATGGAGCCTTACATGATTTGCTCTTTTACTGATGGACTGAGGAGGTTCGAGCTGTTTTCTGGTCTACCATGTGGCAGCCTCTCTCACCATGTCTGCACATAGTGTTCAGGTATGATTCATACTGTCGACGAGGGCACGACGTTTTCTTGTACTGAATTTTTTTGCATACTGGTTGAGCTTGGTTTCAACTTTGACCTGAGTTGTTGGTAGGCAAGCCTGATGCAGGTATATTGATCTTATGCAGTTCCATTAGCTCTGGAGTTGTCCGGTATACTGATGGGGCCGACATATTTTGTTGATGCAGGTTGGAGGTGAACATGAGCTCTGGCAATACAAAATACTCCTTGCGTCCCAAAATTTTTGTCTTAGATTTTCCTAGATACAGATGTATCTTATACTAAAATGTGACTTGATACATCCGTATTTAGACAAAACTAAGACAAGAATTTTGGGACGGAGGGAGTAGCAGATATAAAATAACTGCAGCTCAGGCCATTTATTTCTACAACAACCAAGGAACAAGTCTGTTTTTTAATGCGACCCTGGCCAAGCAATTTATGCTTATAGGGGTGCTCTCTATTTTTCAGAGGTGCGAGAGCGCCCATAATTCAGGGCAAAAAAGCTAGATAAAGTGGCAAACTTTGTAAGAGTGGTATTTGAAGCCAGTGATAGCATGTTGAAGGATGTTGATTGTGGCTATCCAACTTCAGCAACGTGCTTGCAACTCATGAGTGGCTATCCAACTTCAATAACATTGTGGCTATCTCAATGTGAATCCCACAGGCGGAGTTGTGGTCAAGTCCAGCAATTCAACTTCTAAAAATAACATGTATTCCAAACCCAAGGGAAACGAATTACAACTACTTTTTTCAATGTCTTATTCAAAGTACGCATCCTGTCATGTTCACTCGGACGATGACTATACCTATTATAACTCCTTTTAAGAAATTTGACATCCTGCATTCTTTACTACACGACTGTGATTTCTTGGTTTGGGATTTCCTTGTGCACTAGAACTTTACATACATCATCAAAAGATAAGGGATGGGGGCTGTATTAAGGTTGACCATGAGAGACGTGGGGATCATCAGGCACCACATATATTCTATCCCCCACCCCACCCACATCAAAATTTTGGAATATGAATTCATAATTCAATACTCACATGCATTCCATAGTCTACTTTGATCGAGACAACACACGTACATGCTTGGTACTCCCTACTCCCTCCATTCACAAATATACGATGTTCTAACTTTTTTGTGAATCGGGTGTATATAGACACGTTTGTGTGTTTGTTCACTCATATCATCCATGAGAGCCTCAGTTACATGAAAGTAAATTAATTTCAATATGAATTCACACACCCACATGAAATAAATTTATAGGTTGCTTTGACCGAGACGTGCATTGCACGTGCATACTTACTAGTCTAAATGTAATGGTAGGCCTTGGCAGTTCAACACACATTTAGGAATCCAGGTAGTAATACACAGTACTAACTGAAAGTGTCAAGTTCTTAGAAGAATTAATAGCACTCGCACGACTTATTTTCTCGATCGATACCTCCTAGTGCCCACAGCAAAGCTTGCGAGCGAGCAAGCAACCAAAATCCGGTCAAGAAAATGCGACCTCTCCGGCGTCCGGTCGCTCCTCCACGAGCATCGGCTCGCACGCGAGCACGGCGGGCGCGACCAGCGCCAGCGTGTTGGTGTGCGCGGCGTACTCCGCGCCGTCCCACCGTTTCTCCTCCTTTTCCTCTTCCTCGTCTTCCTCTTGAGCCACCGGCACCCTGACCTCGCGCCGCCCCCGCGTCCGCACGTCCAACGCCACCAGCCGCCTGCCGGCCAGCGCCACCACCTCCAGCTCCGCGCCCTGGAACCCCAGGAGCCGCACGCCGTCGTCCAGCCGCACCACCTCCTTCTCCACGATGAAGGAAGACTGAGCGACCAGCTCCTGTCCGCTCGCCTCGCCGGTCTCGTGCCCCGCGGGCTTTGTCAGCCGGCGTGGCAGCAGCTCCCGGACGGGCACCCTCGCGGCGGCCTCCTCCCAGCTCCCGTCCTCGTCAAGCCGGAACACGGCGACGCTGTTGTCATGATCACGCACGGCGCAGTGGAGCTTGCCCCCGGCCGAACCGATCTCCCACATGCCGCTGTCGCCGGGGCAGAGTACCATCTCGACGCGCCCCGTCAGCGGGCTGTACCCGACGGCCGTGCCGACGCTCGTCCGCCACCACGCCGTCCCACCGGCCGCCACGCCCGACGCGGCGACGAGCCCTTCGGCGGGCACGACCGCGTCGGTGGCCCGCCACGCGCCCGTCCCGGACGTGAACACCAGGAAGCAGTAGGCGCCGGAGCCCGGCGCGCACTCGGCGGCGCAGACGAGCGCGTAGTCGCCGCGGAAGTTGTACGGCGTGGCGTCGAAGAGGACGACGACCGCGGGGCGCGGCCAGGTCCGGCACGGCGGGCACGGGACGGGCGCCCAGGACGCGGTGGCCGGGTTGCACACGAAGAACGCGTCGTCAGCCGGCGAGTAGCAGCACGCGACCCCGCGCGACGACGACAGCACGGTGACCCCCTCCGAGGCCGGGGCGAAGGCGAGCGTCGGGGACGGCACGGCGTCGTCGGGCCCGTCGAACGGGAGGAACCCGGCCTTGGGGACGAAGATCCCCGACATCCTTCGCGGGGCGGCCGCGTGCGCCACGGCGAAGAGCGGGGACGCGAGCCGGCGCTCCCAGGACGGGTGCACGAGGCGGAGGCGCGCGGCGGCCGCCGGCGGGAGGTGCACCAGCGCGCGCTCCCGCAGCACGTCGGCGAGCGGCGGCGCCCGGACGGCGGTCACGCGGCTCCGCAGCCGGCGCCTCAACGGCCCCCGGCACGCCCGCGGATCCTCGCTGGTCGACGCGTCGCCGGAGTACATGGCTGCCTGACCAGCAGACGGATCGTGCCCACGCGCGCTACCTTTGTCTGCCGCTCCGCGGCGGATGTTACAAGCAGAGCAGATCGAGATCGACGTGTGCGGCTTCGTGGAAATTTCACTTTCGTCGCGGCGAAGGCATCCGCTGGGCAGGGTAGAAATCGACCGGGTTCTTCTCGGTGCGCGACTTGGCTGACGCGACCGAGGGGTCAATGCGCAAGTCGTGTCAATTTTTCATATTATATAGGAGCATCTCTCCATCTCTATGGCGTAGCGCAACGGTGCATCGCCATGGCTGGGTTTCGGAGTTGCCGTCCGGGCCGGGGAGGAACACGACGGCCGTTTTAAAATCGGATTAGCCGTGGCATATGGTGCTGATATCCGTTGTACGAAATCTGATTGATTCATAACCTCCCGATTCAAACGATCGGCTTCCACAGAAATCGCCAATCGGTTGTCGTGTTAGTTACCCTTCCTTGATGACTATAGCGCTTCCAGTTGCTCTACGAGTACGAGTCGTGCCCGCGCGTGCGTCGTGGCAGATGGCACGGAAAAGTGAGTCCGAGGATCCCACGACGACAAAAAGGCGAAGAAAAAAAAACTATGACATCTATATATTTTTTTAAGTATGTCACACCTAAGCTCCTACAAATATATAATGTAGCAACATGAAATAAAAAAAACTATGACAAAAAATAGACCACAAACAAAATGGACGTCAACTTAAAAGTGACATAGTTATGTCACATCTAGATATGTCCTAGACATTGCAAAAAAGAGAGGGAAGCGATGTCACGAATAACCTGCCTGGACTAGAAGAGACACGCGTTGAACAACAAGCCGATCGACGATGTCGACCACCAAATGAGGCGTTGGCAAATGTAGCGGCGCGGTCATCACGCGCTCCGACGTGACGACTGCTGTAATAATGAAGTAAAGACGAAACACTATAATTAAAAAATATTTAAGAAAATATAAAGTAAAGATGTCCTGATAATAATGAAGTTGAAAATATTGAAGAAACGCTATAATTTAACATTGCAGAGTAAAGACGAAACTAATTACTTATTGCCCAATACGTTTGAACTTCTTATACAATGTCAGGAATCTTGGGTGCATTATCACTCTCATTTTGCTACACCAAAAATTATTTCCTTTATTCCCAACAATCGTATAACAAATAGAAGGCATTATCATGAAAGCAATGGTAAGTACCAAAAAAGTACTGATTTGTTTGGTAGTTGTACCCATCATCCATTAGGCGAACACCTTTCCATGCTATTCTATTAGCATCATGGTAATATTCTAGTACAAGATAGTGTTCTTTTTACAATGATAACTATCCTTTTAGTGATATCTTTCAACGTGAGGTCTTGACTTGACTGACACGGTACGCAACACAAGAATATTTCCATGCATATCTTGTATAGTTTGCATTAACTTTTTATGCCATCACCCAAACATAAAACATAGGCTCTTCGCTTCCCTTTCTTTCTCAATGTAGTGTTCAGGAGCTGAGTTTGCCTGGACAACATAAACTGTTGTTAGGGTATTCCCAAAAGAGTGGGTGGCTTGTTAAAGAAGGTTGCTTAAACAATAGAACATAGCTCTAATAGATAAAGAAAAGGCAATAAAAATATATTTGAAAAATGAACATCCCCCAGCAAACAGAGTAATAACATTTGAACATTAAAAATGCAAGAAAGATTGTTCAAACATCACCAGTGTTCAGTAACGGAAATACTACATGACACGTTACAAGGCCAACCACTGCGCTGCAATAATATTTGCAGGGCTCACAAGTAACTCTTGGGAGTTATATTTGCTGGTGATGATAAGTTTGGAATAAAACAAAAAAGAGAAACCATTTCGGGCAACTTATAAAAAGTGTTCCCATTAAATTAGCTCTACAGAAGAGGATCATGCATGTATTAATCAATAAACAGCCATCACCAACCAAACTTAGTGCTTACCTGCATGGAATGGAGATTGATCACAATGTGAATACTTCTTTGAACAATTTATTTCAAGATCAAAGCCTAAAAGAAACAAAAATAAACCAAACAATTTTAATAATATGTTTCCACATAACCAATTCAAATACTTTCTTTTTTCGAGAAAACAATACGAATACTCTTTTGTATGGTATGAGCCAAATTTGGACCGCACACTTTCTAATATCCCATTTATTTACGAATAAACGAAAAGACATAGGAGTCCATAACCTGTCAATGTGCATTCCCTGACAACATTAGTCTTATGCATTGAGTCTAGCACCGGCGTGGGTACAACAAGGATGTCCACACAAGAGATAGCGGCACCAAGAAGAGACATCTCTGAAGCTATTGTTCTACTGGAAATCCCACACACTACCCTGAATCCACAACATGTTAGCTAGATCACCTTCAGTTCCAGCGGATACGGGATCTAATTGGAACAAAAACTCCCAAGAGCGGCCAAAATTTAGATGAAGTTCCAATGAAAAGACCATTTTTTTGTAGACCATGGGATGCAATAGTGTTACCTGGAGAAGGGGAGGGTGTCCGCGTGCAAGGTCTCCTGCTGCTCCCGCAGAAACACCTGTCCTTCTTTGTTTATCAGATCTCTTGGCTCAATAGATGTTGTTGAAAAAAGCATGATTTATTCGAGAAATTAGTACCAAACCTACAACACACAAAAAAGATCAAATTGTTATGAAACCCGCCATCTGTCCTGAAGCTAGTTCAGTAAGAAAGAACATTTATCAAAATCTTTTCTAAAAGTTTGTGGCGAGCATGCAGTGTGCAGAACTGGACAAATCATTAATTCTAAAAAAAAGTGAAACAAGGATACAGAAAAAGTTGACACTCGAGTAACTCACCATCTGTCCTGAAGCTAATTCAGTAAGAAATAACATTTAGCAAAATCTTTTCTTTAAGTTTGTGACAAGCATGCAATGTGTAGAACTGGATAAATCATTAATCTACTATCCCAATAAAAGACCCACAGGGGGCAGATCCAAACAATCAGGACTATCGATCAAGAAGATCTAAAGGCCCAAAGGCCGACACTCGAGTAACTACCGCCTGAAAATATCATACTGCAAATTTTACATTGCCCATGAATTCTGGGTGATTACTGATACGTCTCCGTCGTACCTACTTTTCCAAACACTTTTGCCCTTTTTTTGCACTCTAACTTGCATGATTTGAATGGAACTAACCCGGACTGACGCTGTTTTCAGCAGAACTGCCATGGTGTTATTTATGTGCAGAAACAAAATTTCTCGAAATGACCTGAAACTCCACGAAGATTATTTTTGGAAATAATAAAAAATACTGGCAAAGAATCAAGGCCAGGGGGCCCACACCCTAGCCACGAGGGTGGGGGTGCGCCTGCCCCCCTGGGCGCGCCCCCTTGCTTCGTGGGCCCCCTGGAGCTCCACCGACCTCAACTCCAACTCCATATATTCGTGTTTGGGAAGAAAAAAATAAGGGAGAGGGATTCATCGCGTTTTACGATACAGAGCCGCCGCCAAGCCCTAAACTCTCTTGGGAGGGCTGATCTGGAGTCCGTTCGGGGCTTCGGAGAGGGGAATCCGCCGACATCGTCATCATCAACCTTCCCCCATCACCAATTTCATGATGCTCACCGCCGTGCGTGAGTAATTCCATCGTATGCTTGCTGGACGGTGATGGGTTGGATGAGATTTATCATGTAATCGAGTTAGTTTTGTTAGGGTTTGATCCCTAGTATCCACTATGTTCTGAGATTGATGTTGTTATGACTTTGATATGCTTAATTCTTGTCACTAGGGTCCGAGTGCCATGATTTCAGATCTGAACCTATTATGTTTTCATGAATATATGTAAGTTCTTGATCCTATCTTGCAAGTCTATAGTCACCTACTATGTGTTATGATCCGGCAACCCCGAAGTGACAATAATCGGGACCACTCCCGATGATGACCGTAGTTTGAGGAGTTCATGTATTCTTTATGTGTTAATGCTTTGGTCCGGTACTCTATTAAAATGAGGCCTTAATATCCCTTAGTTTCCGTTAGGACCCCGCTGCCATGGGAGGGTAGGACAAAAGATGTCATGCAAGTTCATTTCCATAAGCACGTATGACTATATTCGGAATACATGCCTACATTACATTGATGAATTGGAGCTAGTTCTGTGTCACCCTATGTTATGAATGTTACATGATGAACCACATCCGACATAATTCTCCATCACTGATCCATTGCCTACGAGCTTTCCATATATTGTTCTTCGCTTATTTGCTTTTCCGTTGTTATTGTTATCATCACTACAAAATACCAAAAACATTACTTTTGCTACCGTTACTTTTGCTATTGTTACCACTACTACCATATTACTTTGCTACTAAACACTTTGCTGCAGATATTAAGTTTCCAGGTGTGGTTGAATTGACAACTCAGCTGCTAATAGTTGAGAATATTCTTTGGATCCCCTTGTGTCGAATCAATAAATTTGGGTTGTACTCTACCTCCGAAAACTGTTGCGACCCCCTATACTTGTGGGTTATCAAGACTATTTTCTGGCGCCGTTGCCGGGGAGCATAGCTCTATTCTTTGAGTCACTTGGGATTTATATCTGCTGGTCATTATGAAGAACTTGAAAGATCCAAGAACCAAGATTTATCCCTCAACTAAGAGGGGAGGTAAGGAATTGCCTGTTGTGGAACGTAGTAATTTCAAAAAAATTCCTACGCACACGCAAGATCATGGTGATGCATAGCAACGAGAGGGGAGAGTGTTGTCTACGTACCCTTGTAGACCAACGCGGAAGCGTTGACGCAACATAGAGGAAGTAGTCGTACGTCTTCCCGATCCGACCGATCCAAGCACCGTTACTCCGGCACCTTCGAGTTCTTAGCACACGTATAGCTCGATGACGCTCCCCGGGCTCCGATCCAGCAAAGCTTCGGGGATGAGTTCCGTCAGCACAACGGTGTGGTGAGGATGATGATGTTCTATTGACGCAGGGCTTCGCCTA